GGGGGGGGGGGGGTTTAAAGCGCGCCCCACTGATAGTCGCGCAACACCCACTGCCGGCGAGCACAGCAATCGCCCTTTGCTATGTGTGACAACGCAGCGTCCTCTTCGAGGAGCAGCCGATCCGGGGTGAGCGGCGTTGCCATGCCGCGTATCACCTACCGTTTACAAATGCGCACCCGGTCTCCCTGAAGCTTGGTCATATACGTAATTTTGTCGACGTCACATATCAGCCACTAGGTGAGAGGTCGTCGTTAGTAAACTTCCAGTTCTCGGTGGATATTGGTCGCAACCACTAAAGTTGAGGCAGGTATGCACGTAGTACGTAATTTATCACATCATCTATATACATATAACATCATTGCACTTCGTACCCAGTTTTGATTTCACGCCTACTTTCCTATGTCCACCATGACGCCAACTCCGGCTACACTTTGAAACTTTGACTTACAGCCGCGACTAGAAAACTATGAGGATAAGAATAATTTCAAGGGTAAGGCTATGATTTATTTCGAGATAAAACAACAAATATAAAGCCACTGGCCCTCTTAAACGTAGAATGCTTGTGTGCGGGACCCAGATGTACAGTCGGTAGCAAAAGAGTGTGGGTCACGGGTGCGCCAGCCTAAATGAATCGCAGCGCCTCCTGACGGCGCGCGACCGCTCTCAAGTCTCAATATTTGCGCATGCGCTTCCTTTCCTGTTCTCGGCCATATGTTTTTTACTCGCTTTCGTCCGACCCGCTCAGAATAACCATGACCGGCGCAAGATGCCGCTATGTCAGCCGTCATGCTGCGCGTCTACCTCTTATACCGCGATAGGTGACCGAGCTCGCGTGCTCCGGATAACATTTCGCGGCACCTTGCTCCAGCGCCTGTCAACTCGTTCACGTTAGACGAAAGCGAGCGAAAAAAAACAAAAAAAACAACATGACTGTGAACACGGAATGAAGCGCATGCGCAAAGCGTGAGTCTTGAGAGCGGCGAGGTGCTGTCGTAAGGTGCAGCCAGTCATTTCGTCTGGCGCTTCCGCGTCCGCAATCTTTTGCTGTCAGCTCTATATTCTGAGCATTTAAACATGCATAAAATACGAAGGAATTGTACGTGAGCACGTATAAAAAAAACATGCTACATTTACGCAAAAATATTCGCAATGTCAGTTGGAAATAAATATCCTTTGATTAAAGTGGGCCCTGAAAGGTTTCTAAAAACGACACTAGGACTGTGAAGACAAAATGCCATACACAGGTAAACGGACTTAGCGTCTATAACCGTGTATGTCGTATCGTCTTCCTAGTCCATGTGTAGTTATTGCAACCCCTTTGCAGCTTAGTTCATTCAAAGCATTAAAAACAATCAACTAGCCCATTTCCATGTACTGTTAAATAGAAAGCCGTGGCTAATATTGTGCTTTGAATCCTTGTGTTCACTTCTAACTTTCATTCTACAAGCAATCCTTTCTATCAGTCTCTAAATTCTACAACACGTATTGACATTTTGTGCAATCATGCAGCAGCTTTAGTGCTATATTAGTCTGCGTGTCGCCGTAACATTGAATAGAATACTACTTGTAACAGGACCGGAAATTATTCAAGATTGTGCAAGTGAGCAGATACAATGCAATAGAATACAAAACCACCTTTAATTACTTTCTTTGAAAATAATGCATTATAAGCCAATAATGGCTTCTGCGTGGAACGCGACAGGAGCTTTTGCTTTTTATTTCACAGGTAAATAAATACAACAAAGCATACCAATATCAGTATATATTTTACAGTTCCACCTTCTTTCACAGCCTATTTTAATTCCTCTAGTTTAATGAGTACGTATTAAAACTTGTCCAATCATATTGAATTAGCCTTTACGTATCGTGAAGGAAATTGGAACTTGCGACTTACAAATTAATTCTAATAATCGTAGAAAAAAATAACATTTTATATTATGCGCTTTCGTTAATGCTCTATTATTTATTCCTATTACATTTTATGTGCCTTCTTTTCCCTGTTCATTTATCCATCTTTTTCTAGTTGTTTTTTATACTAGGGTATTTTATTTTATCAAGCTAATCCGGTAAATCTTAGATATGGAATTTTTTTTGTGGCTTTGCCATATTTTGTTCTTATAAATGATTCAACAATTTTTTTATTTCGTCTTAATGTCCTTTTTTTTCATTTTCCCGTCTATGTTTGTTGTCGAAAAAATGTTTTATAATAACATCATACTTCATTTGATCTCTGAAACGTAACTACTATTCCATATTGAAGTACGAATTTTCCCAGTGCATTGTATATATTTTAACTATGGATCGCGGTACTAGTTCTGTGATATGGTACATATGTGGCCTTAGTATCCTTAATTTCTTACAAACCTGGTCTATGTGAATATTCCATTTAACATGTTTGTCTATGTACATACCCAGCCATTTAACATTATCAGCTTATTTTAGAGGGATGCAAAAGCAGTTGTTGCAGTTTTTATCTTGCATTTTTGGTGGAAATTCATTTACAATCTTTTTCCTGGATCTCTAAAGCATATTACTTGTGTTTTAGAAAAGTTTACGGTTTAAAAAAAAGTTTTAGCAACGTTTTAAATTGAAGATCATGACATCTTCAATTGAAAAGCGCGCCCTCGTGGTTAAGGTATCTAGAAACTTCCATTTCACTGCAGGTGTTAGGACTGGGTCGACAAGACTAACCCTCATCTGCTCAATATGTCTTCAAAGGTCAAAACGTCTAGCAAGACAAAATGACCGTCGAGTCAAAGGTCCTGACATTTAGTATTTTTACATTTTGACCTGTTGAACATTCTGTCTCGTTACACATTTTGACTTGGAGGATTACAGCATAGAGCGCATATTTTAAAGCAACCTGTTCTCCTGCTGGCTTTAGGTCATATAGAGGTTTATTATAAACATGTAATATTCTCTGAACCCTAAAAACCTGAAAGCTCAGTGTCCAATGCAGCTCGTAGATATTTTGCAGATATGTCACCATACATACTCTATTTTTTTATGCTTCTGGTAGTGGTGCGCCAAGCGGTCATGAAGCATGAAGGTTGTTCGGCTGCTAGAGACACTCCGAAGACTAAATAAACATAAAAAAACAGTGTGGTTGACATTTTGCAGCTTACTACTTGACGGAATGTTAGACTAAATTGTAAGATGAGTTCTATATTTTAAACGGTTAAATGACCATGCACATAACGCATTCTAAAATATATATTATTGTATTAAGGCAAAAAACCCTATTTTCGTACCTCAGTGGCAGTTAAGCTGCACTTGAACATCCAACGACAGGACTGTAAGGCGCTCGGCCAGAGTGCGTACCAATGCATCCAAACATTCCGGAGGACAGAAAAATTATGATTACGATTCAGAGATTTCTTGTGTCGCGCTTAGCGACAAGGGAGACTGGTGTAGTTTGCGTTATGACGAAGACAATTATTGCCTATCACTACAATTCCAATTCCAAATCAAAGGTCGAATTTTCGGGCTTCAGGTGGCAAACCAACGAAAGGCATCTGGCATGCGCCTGCGGACGACTGAGTATTATTTACAACGACTTCTTTTTTTTTTTTTTTTGGTGAGCAAAACAAAAAATTGATTACTCGGCACGTTTTTTCGCAATAAGCCCCCATTAGGTTGCAGACACCTAAGCTGGGATTCGAGCCCGCCTTAGACCGACGCTTTTACTCGGAGCCGCCGAGGTGGCTTTCCAATCCTACTTAAATTGCGTTTCTGCAGTTTGTGGTTCGATTTGTGCTTTGAAGGTTTGCATTTTTTATACTGACCATCTTGTCCAAAGCTTTATGCGGTGCAAGTTGATCATATGCATAATGGTAGGACGACTTCTAAAGCGTGAGACATCGTGCTCGCGTTTTTTTCTTCGGTCAAACAGTGAGGCGGAAAGAACCTGTAGCTCGTTCTAGAGCACTCGGAAAGCTGTAGCACTTCTGCCTTTAACGTAGGGCGTGCTACTCTGGGCAATGTACCGTGGGGTACATTGCCCAGAGTAGCGTTTATTTTTCTCTCCCTTCTGAGTTTTAAAAGTTTATATGGGTAACAACTTAGTAAGTGATTTATTTCTACTTGTTTGCTGGAAGTTTGAATGTCTTTATATTTTTTACTTTTGTTTACATAAGCTTGAAAAAACAGAATACGGAGACTCCGTCTTCCATCTCACACTCCGGCACTCAAATCATGTGTCCTTATCTTCTATTGCAATTTAGATCCCGCAATATAAAAGCAGTATTTGCTCTACAATATAATGGTCCGAATAAACGCATTTCCTGAGTTACAAATGCAGTTATTCAACTGTGATGCAAGATTGTATCAAAGCTGTTTTATTTAACACCATGTACCTCCTATCGATTAAATATTTTAAAAGTACTATTTAGCGGACAGAGGATAATTATCCCGGAAATATGGTATTCGTACTTTCAACTTGCCCCAAAACGTTTCTTTTTTTATTGTACAAGCACCGAACGGCCACGTACTATTCCTTTACGTTCTGCTAGTGCTAAATTAAGCGCTGAAGGGAATATATTGTTTGTCAATGTGTAACGCAAAGTAGCAAAAGACAAATACCGTAGACGAAAAATTGGTGTCTAATTATCGAATGACGTGAGAAATTATCGATTGTCGCAAGAATTAGCTTTCTCATACTTAACTTTTTAAGGAACGATCTTCATGCTGGGTACTCGATAAGAACTATTAACCTGCCAGCTTATGCTCAACATTTTAGGATTTATCACACTTCAACGTTTAAACCGGAATAGGATAAATCGCGATAACGTATATATTCCGCTGCGTTGCTGGCACTCCGATAACCAGATCGGACTGCAGCCATGAAAAAAAAAATACAAAACATGGTTCAAGCAATTAGGGTGCTCTTCATTCAGGTGTGTCAAATATGAATTAGAAAGTGCGTCGTCACGCTCATGATAAAAAAAAGAAATGAAGGGAGGTTATGCGTAAAACACAATGTTTTTTTCCTGGTTTCCCAGCCGCAACGACAGCCGGAAGCCGTGGTACCGCGAGGCAGACTCCCCGGACAAGAACGCGCTGGCCCAGAGGGCCTACGAGGCCCTGCTCACGGTCACCGCCAGGACTCCCGAGACCGAGGACTTCCGCAACTTCTCCAGGGAGGTGAAGCAGCTGGCCATCGACAAATTCAACTTCTCCTTCGGCAACGAAGAGGTGGGAAACCAGCTACGTGTTACAGCCACGAGATAGAGTAGCGTGCACTAATATCTGCGCGTCTTATGACTACTGTGTACGCGTGGAAGTCTCAAAAGTTAATTTTATTAATCTTACCTATACTGGTCAAACCGAAGAGTAAGGAAAAATAATGGCTGCGACCTTGCACTCAAAGTCCTATGATGTTTGGAATGCATTATAGGGAATTGGTAAGGGAAGTCATGTGTCATGTAACGTATATTGTTCGCCTCGCGAGGAAACAAAATGGTTGTATAAGTCACGTGATGTTAGGTCACGTTTTGTCGACTTCCCCCGCCAGATTTAGCGAAGAAACTGCATTGGTATCTGGGTCACGAGACGCGAATTTTCCCGCTAAATTTAGGGGGTAACTGGATTGGCGCATAGTTCACGTGACGTCAAATTCCAGCAAAATTTAGCGGGGAAACTGAATTGATGTTTTTGCAACAAGACGTGAATTTTCCCTCTATATCTAGCAGGAAAACTGAGTTTGAACGAAGTTAGAATGAAGTTTATTTGACATCCAGAAAATGCTGGGAAGGAAGGAGCGAAACGTTGCCGTATTTAATGCGGATTCTCTCCTGAATGTATGTCTCATACCAAAAATTATAGGTCATACTTTTTGTATATTTTTATACACTTTCTGGTTTTCCGCTCTGTGTAAATTAATAAGGTTCATCTTAAGTTAGAATGTTGCTGAATCGTAGGGATGGTGTGCTTAGTGAAAGAAGAGCAGTGTGAGCGCAAGTAGGAGACGTAGCCTGTTACGATACGTTGTCACTGTTGTGCCCCAGGTCAGTAGACAATAGTCTCGATGCGGGTGCAGCAATGCGTAATATAATTGACGTTCTAACTAACATGGAAGTAATAGTATAAGCCTTCGCAATATGCCAATGAAACGGAAAAACTTTTAGCGGAGGTGTTTGACATGACGAGACAAAATCATGCTTTCATTGAACCAGACACCCAGAAATTTATGTGAGCTTACATTTTCAATAATAGTTTATTTATTTCAGTACCATCAGTGCCGCTAGGGCATTAGAGAGGGGAGGGTCAAGATGCAGTACAAAAGACAGTAAAACAAAATTAAATACAAAACGAAGTATTTATATCAACAAAGATGATTGGTTATCGCAATTTTGAACAAATCAGGTGTTGATATGGACACTAACGATGCGGGAAGGTGGTTTCACTTGGAAGACGTTCTGGGCACAAAGGAGTCAATCTACGCGTTGGTACGACACTGATAAAATCCTACTTTGCATTGATGGTCAAAGCGAGCAGAGATCTTTGGAGAAGGAAGAATAAATTTTTGTTTTTGAGTTGGGTTAGAGTAATAAATTTTGTGAAAAATACAAAGACGAGAAACTTTTGCGACGCAAAGACAGAAGATGCCGAAACAAATTAGTTTTCATAGACAAGACGTGATATTCATGTCGCAACTACGGGCTCATAATTTTGGTTATAAAATATTATGTCTTGTTTTACTAGTGTCAAGCTGCAGTTTACTAAATCGTAACCATAGCGATAAGTTCCAGTCATTTGACGAGGATTCTAGATTCATCAAGTTCGAATGAGGAAAAACAATTCATCTGCGTCGTCTGCGTGCATGATTATGTCGGGCGTCTCTGTAAAATTAACTAGGTTGTCTAAAGAGAAAAGAGAAATTAAAGTACGGCAATTTAAAGGGAATAAATAACAGGGGACCTGAAATAGATCACTGATGTGCACCGTGCACACTGGTTTCAAACTCCGACTGCGCGCCATGTATTAACGTATACCACGTTAGATAACTTGGAATTAGCTCCAACGCGTGCCTCTGAATCCTTAGCTTTCCAGTTTCCAAAAAAAAAAAATATCATGCTTGATAGAGTCAAAAACCCTCACTAAAATCTAAGACAGTGCTGAATAGAAAGAGCTTATTTTTATTGCTGCTGATTATCTTCTATTTAATGTTTAATAACGCCATTTCGTTTGATTTGTGTTTTTTTTTTCTCTTTTTTTGAAACCCATATTCCTTGTGTACGACCGGAGTATTTGCTGTAAGAAAGCTTGTGAGCCTCACGTCGCTCGAATATTTTGGGGAACACTGGCAAAACTGATCTTGGTCGATGATTATTTAGATTATTTGGTTATCCCCTTTAACGCAACACGCAGGCCCTAGTAATTGTCATTCTCCATGGAAAAATACATGTGCTTAATACAGCGTTAAAAATATGAGCGAAAGGCGCTAGCTGAAATAAAATGAGACATCACTTTAAATGGTTCAGCTGTCATCTTCGCCAGTTGTGGTACTGTTAGTGAAGGCATGTATCGCAGTAATTATCTCTGCCTCGCATTTAGGGGACAGAAAAACTAAGTTGATACATTTTTGGTGACGTAAGATTCCACTCTATCACGGTTTATTGAGAACAATGATGCGCCGGAAGCCACAAAATGATAATTAAACTTATTTGCTGATGACTCACCAACGAACAAGACAGCATCAATTGTTAATTCGTCCAAAAGTTTTTTTTCCGTGTTTGAGGTAAGGCTTGCTACTGTATCCCAAAACTTCTTCGGATTGCGTCGCTTGCTAAAAAGCTTATGCTTGTAATATTCCATTTGTGCTTTCTTAATGTCGGAGTTAACTTTATTTGTCAATTGTATACTCTGTGAGAATACCTAGACTTCTAGATTCTAGCCGTCAATTTCCCCAAAATATAGAAGTCACGTGACTTCACGGGACGTCACGTGACATCACTTTCCCAGCTAAATTTAACGGAAAACGCACGGACGGAAAAACGGCCTGACGCAATTTTGGAATTGGGGTTTAGTGTTAAAAGAAATTTCATGCTTTAAAAAGGAAACTCATTTGTTATCTCCCGCAAAGTTCTGATTTTTTAGGGTAAAAAATAAAATATAATTACGTAACGATATACATTATGGATTTTCAATGTATTGTGATTTCACTCCCCATGTGCACTTAGATGTTGCTTACACTAATGACCCCATAAAAATTATGAAGACATAAAAAAAAAATTTAAAAATGATCAGTCAATCCATTCGTGTTCATATGTTTTGCAAAATGACGTTTCAAGAATCAACAGGAACGACCAGTGACCCAAAACACTTCATGCTGTGCATTCTTTTTTTTGTTTTTAATTTTTCTTCCTTAATTATGTTTTAGATACAATTATATATAAAACAAATGTGAGCAGCATTAATCTCAGCTTGAATAATTAACTTTAACTGTGTTGTGTTCTCTCGACAACAGGTCATATAAATTAATTTCACTCTATGTTACGCTAAAACAAAGTAAGTCGCATATTTGTTGGCCTCTTAAAAGCAATACTGAGGTGTCAGGCGTACAGCTGAACGTGATTACATTGTTCAGGAAATTACACCCTCCTGCCTTGTTCTATGTATTCACTGACGTTCTAGAAACAATGTGTCCTATATTAATGCAGTTAGATGAAATTAAAATAAACTACCAACGTTGTTTTGGTAAAAAGATGTGATTACGAACTGGAGTTGGCGAAGAACCCAGCAGATGCTTCGCCTCCCATACGCTCGTTACCTCCTGCTGGTCTTTGGCTGCGCGTGTGACGAAATGTTATTCTTAAGCTGTCAGCCAACTATAACACCCCTACCTCCCTCCCCTTCCCCCCTGTTCCCGTTCTTCACTCGCCGGACTCGCAGCTCGCAAATTGGAATTACTCGCACTTAAAAAAAAAAAAAAAAAAGAAACCTCGCTGGCTTTTTTACTTATATGCGAACGCCTCGGCTCCCCACAACTTGAAGATGTCATATATATATATATATATATATATATATATATATATATATATATATATATATATATATATTTAAAACACGGATTATTTTCCTAAGGGTACCACCCCTACCGCCTCCCCCCTCGCCCGGCCCAAAATCTAAAATTGTTGACCATCTGAGCGTTTCCCGCTTGATTTATCCGGAGAAAATTACGTCACACGAGTTCCGCATCAATTTTGTTTCCCCGCTACATTTACTGGGAAAATTGATGTCAGGTGACCTGTCACGAGTATGCACCGGTTCAGTGTCTCCCGCTAAATTTAACAAGAAACAAACGTCACGTCAAAACAAAAATAGCAGTTAAGTGTTTTTATAGTCAGAATATAACCTGGCAGAGTAGGGTGACGTTGTTACCCACTGCAGATGAGTAATCTAGCCAGTGCAGTACGACTGCTAGCCTGTGGTCTTTAACGTGAATCATGCAGTAGTGATAACAGGGCCGCACGCTGGTACGTACGGTACTCATGGAGATCGAAAGGGGCAGTAGTGAAGATTGAACCCGGGATCCCTAGGTTCACGGCCTCCGGCCGTGAACCAAGGAATCCTGGGTTCACGGCCGTGAACCCGTAAACTCTGTTGGGCAGTCGAGCGTTTGGACAGGCATCCAGACTGTCCAAACGCTCGGCTGCTCGACAGAAAAAAGCGGGCCGAGCCAGTTCCCTAAGTCTTCGTATCCGGCGCTTATTTCCAACCCATAAACAGAAAAAAGAACCGTCTCAAAGCACGCTGTCAAGTGTGACCCCGCAGAATGAACGTTGCATTTTCACTGTTTTCGCCATAAAAAAAAAACGGGTTAATTGACCCCTCTTGGTTCGTAATTTTATTGCCTAATCCTCTCTTTACGCCGTTTCGCTGGATGATAGCTCAGATTGCAGAATATCTAAGTCGAATCTTTATTTTTCATCTGCGGATGCTGTCTGGGCCGGCGGGACAGGCATAGAAATAGTTTTTTCGTCATGCATGAGAACAACTTTCTGAACTTCATTTACGTGCTGCGGTATTTGTGATACATATTTCGCGCTACGAACGGATGAACCTTCGAATTTCGATCAACTTCTTACTTGCCAAATGGTTGTGTGTATTGTGGCGAGAGGCGGGGAGCAGAATTCGCGCTGCTTCAAAGTTCCGTAGACTGATGATAATGTTGATGATGATTATCCTCGGCT